TTTATCTTAAACCAAAAAGAGGTAAAGCATATCTGACTTTTATGTCATTTGCCATACCCACAGGAGCTGCTTTGCTTCATTGCTAGCATTGTTTAGATCATTTGTACCACAGAGGAAAGAACTGAGAAGCCAATAAATTGCAGCTGCTTTTAAAAAGGAGCTGAAAATCAATAATAAATTATTGTTTTCTATAGCAGTTTAGGTTCCTTATGTGTCCCTTCTGACATGTGGATGTAGCTATAAATTAATTTAGTTTTAGGCTGTAAAAAACCTAACTTTCTCTGGACTGACTCTCTAGCATGCATTAGTGATATAAAAATAACATACCTTGGCAGGGTAGCTTTCGAGGAGTGCCTAACACTGCAAGTTATTTTTATAGTTTAATGAGATATAGGCCCATACTTCCAGAGGGAGACACAGTGAGCAGAACACTCTATAATTTACTGCAGTAAAATGATCAGGATTCATGCTGTCTATAAAACATGAAAAACATTCTTCATTCCTTACCAATTAGATCATAGTTACAACTCTCGGCTCCTTTGAGCTTAAAAGAAAATTCTAACTGCTAGACATAAATGAATGCTGTGGTTAAATTAAAGCCTTCAACAGCCCAAACAGGCTTGAAAGAAATGCCTTCTGGATGTTATTAACATGCATATTTAAGTGCTATTTTTAAAATTTAACTGCAAGCCATAGCAAGCACAAATGTTTGTAATAGCTATTTCAAAATTGAAGCATTAATTTAAAAAGCATTTTCATTGCTGTTAATTTCTTCCCAATAATTTTATTTCAGCTTTTACTACAGCTGATTTTCTTTTCTTGCATGTGATGACAGACAACTTGAACTGAAGTCTCCAAGATTTCATAATTTGCCAGCCTTGAAATGATTCTCCCATAAAATCTGTCACGCACATATAAAAGGCTCAATTCATCAAACATGTCTGATTTACAAAGTGAGCAATCCTATTTATTTCAGTGGCACATCAGTGTAGGAAAGGTAGATGGACATGTTCGCAGATTCAATGCTTTGGTCTTGTGCTTCAGTTCAGAGATGAATCATGGCACATCACAAAAACACCTGTGGCTTGTTCTGCAGTGTAGGGAGAACAAAGCAGCTTGGAGGAGCAGGAGGCAAGGAAAGAACAGATAGCAAAGGTGTTTGGTTTTCTGTCACAGGTTGCTGGTGTGGTTAATCCTCTGCTTCAGTACTCCACATTTTCAATTCTTTTCCAATTTGGTCACACTGACAAGCCACAAGCACTATTTGTTGCTTACAAGAAATGCTGATTGCTTGACAGAAATGAATTTGAGGATGGCTCAGAGATGACCTTGCAAGTCTTTGAAATATCAAAGTGTGTAGTTCTGATATGCCTGATAAAAGTGTCATTTAAATATCCATGGAAACTGGCTTTCACATGCAGCTCAGGGGCTTTGGTCATAAACAAAATACTGGACTGTGAAGGGATTTCAAAGATATACCTCATCCTTTTGATGTCTGCAGCTAATCCTTTTCCTCAGCTCTGTCCTTAGGAAGACTACTGAAGGTGAAGCTGAGCTGTTCAGTGGGAACACTGTGATTTGTTTATTGCTTTGATATTGCCCATAGACTACTGCTTCCTGTGAATAAGGACTGTGTGGTAAGACACAAGTGAATCCCTACCTCTGTATTTAAAAATTAAAAATGTGTTCATCTCTGCATATGTCTATATTTGCATGTGTTAAGTGGGAAGCAAGCTTAGCAGTCCCATACTGCCAAAAAGGTGTTCAAAACCAGCCTGCAAAATTGGTAAGAATTAGTGTCTCATTTTTGCTACACCTTTGGAAATGTATTTGTGCTGTGTACTTTCATCAGGCTCCTCTCCAACATTCTCATTATGCAAGGAGTATTTAAGTCTAGGTAGTAATTTAGCTAACATAATGAAGTAGGGAACCGTTGTTACAGATAATTAAAGGAGATGAACAGTTCATATTCTTTCTTTTGTAATTTTGGTCCACCTGAATGAGACAGATATTTTTCCAGCCTGTGGACAAAGATTACTTTACCATTTAATATAGCCTTTTAAAGATCACTACTGTAGAAATGAGAATTACACTCTTATTACTTTGTTATCTTGTTTAGCAAGAGAATATTTGTAAAACTGTGGTTCACTGACTAGATTAGTATGCATAACCAACCAAACCAAACTAAAACAAAAACCAACAGAAAGAAATCCAGTGTTTTTAAAATACTTGACATCTTTTGTGTTTCAGGTTTTCAGGAGGATTGATTCAATTATATAGTCCTAGGTTTTTGTCCTTTTTTCAGTCAGTATTCATTGATTTTATTTTAATTTTTTTAGGCTTCGTACCATCTGTGATGTACAGAAATTTTCTTGGGAATTTAAAAATGACAGGATCATTTCAATAGCATTTATTTATTTATTTATTTATTTATTTATTTATTTATTAATTTATTAAGATCAACATAATAATAAGAAGAATGCAATTAAATTGGAATAACTGGTTTGGAATAAATGATAGAGAACACTTACTTTTATGTGAGAGTTTCAAAATGATTACAAGTGCAAGTTAATTGAGCCTACTCATGCTCTTTGGGGTAAAGTTAATTAATATTATTGCCTTCATCACAGGCCCCAGCTGTGAACAGTCCTGGGCTTCTCCTGGACAGTAAAACCAAGCAATAAAAAGCTGTGTGTTTTGTGATTAGGTGGGAGTGGTTCCTCCTTTGAAGATTTGATCCTGCTGAACTTATTAAAAAATGTAATTCAAGGAGCTGCCTTGGACCAGGTGAAAAAGTCCTTGGAAGAGAGCTTAAGCTAGCCAGCTATATACAATTTCTGTTCAGCATCACTCTCCTCTAGGGCTCTGGTGGAGAGCCTGTGTCCAGAGACATCTCTCTTTGTTACAGCAGCCCTGGCTGTACAGCAGGGTCTGCCACTGCGGGAACAGCAGTGAGAAGGGCAGGACCAACTTCAGGTGCTCAGATCTAGGTCATAGCCTTATCTTCAAGGACAGGATGTTTTTGCCAATGTGCTGACCTGAGAACAGGAATGGTCATAGCGTAGGCACAGATTCTCTTCTGCAAATTCTCTTCTGCAGTAGAGGAATGCTGCTCTAAGGATAACAGTGTTCAGCTCCCGCAAGCTTCCATCTCTTTTCTTCCTGTGTACAAACATCAGATATTTGCAGGAGTAAGAGAGGTGGAAACTGTCGTACAGGTAGCAGCCTGAAAAGCACAACAAAGGAGAATAGGAGGGGTTAGTTAAGGAAATAATCTAGTTATAGACTGAAGTAACAAAACATATAAAGCCTATTGCCTTTTAGTTAGTTTATTTATTTCAATTTTCTTAGGGTGTAAGGGCTGGAGTGCTGTAATCTCAAAGAAGCCCCATGCCATGGCCTGCATATCATGGCAGCAACGTGTGCAACATTACATTTGACTTTGCTCTGTTAAAGAAAATCTGTCATGCCCTCACTCTTGGACCAGAGCTGGAAAGATGATCAATAGCTGGTAAATGTCAGGGGAGGTTTGTGACTCTAGAGCTGATGAGCAGAAATAAGAAGTTGATTAGAAGATTTTAAAGATCTGACATGCAGAAATGGTAAGTGGAATGTGGAAAAACTTTGTCCACACTCCTGCCTTTTGGAGAGAAGTCTTGCTCCATAAAATCTCTAAAACTAAAGGCTTTGTTTGCTTTAGATATGGGAATAGCTACTTTGATGTCCCTCTAACTCAAGCAAGTTCCTACTGCTCAACTTCAAAGCAGAGTTTTGGAACTCTAGGGCAGTTTAAAAGTGTCCCCAGAAATCCTATGCCCGTTGGCCTGTTGATGGTGGGTTCTCAGAACATCAGACTATTCAATTCAACTGTCACCAAGAAAGGTATGAAAGAGTGGCAATGGAGCAATCTGAGGAGTAACTCATAAATGTATGTGGTCAGTTCTATAGAATCATGAAAAAGTTAAAGTTGGAAAAGACATCTTAGATCATCAAGCCCAAACAACAACCTAGCCCATCACCACTACACCATGCCCTCAAGTGCCATATCCACGTTTCTTGAATACTTTCAGGGATGCCAGCTTCACCAACTCCCTGGGAAGTCAGTTACAATACTTGATAACCCTTTCAATTACGAATTCTCTCCCGAATATCTGAAACTCCATGTCGAAACTTGAGGCCATTTCCTCTTGGCCTTGTTACCCGGTAGAAGAGACTCACCCCCACCTCAATACAACCTCTTTTCAAGTAGTTATAGAGAATGATAAGGTTTCCCCTGACCCTCCTTTTCTCTAGGTTAAATAACCCCAGCTCCCTCAGTTGGTCCTCAAGATTTGTGCTCCAGCTCCTTCATCACCTTCATTGTCCTTCTCTGAAGCATAAAATATACATATGTTGTACATAGATATATTCTGGGTAATGTATGACATCTATATTACAGATATGTAAGTGTATTGTGTGCAGGTATATATATATATTTATCATAGAATCAGAGAATACCCTGCATTGGAAAGGACCCACAATGATCATCAGAGTACAGCTCCTGGCTTGGTACAGGACAGTCCCATGAATTGCAATATGACAACAGAGATTTTAAACTTGATTGCCTCATGGTTGCTGTGGCCAAGTTGGTCACCAATCTTCACATATGAGAACCTGTCTCTTAATAAGCCACAAACCAAGGAAGGTTGTGGCTTTCCTAGTTGGTCCCCTTAGTAGCTATAATTTGAGGTTATCATTCCAGATGTTTTACCACTATTCTGGACCTGTTTGTTCCAGGTATGTGATGCTCCCAGTTAACATCTGGCAAGTTGATGTTCCTGGACGGATGGGGGCAGTTGTTTTGAAGATATCCCTGAGTTCCTCAAAGAGTAATTCTTTGCAATCTACCTATAGTAGACTCCTATGATGACATCCACATTACTTTTTTGTCCTGTAACCCTTACTCAGAGACTGTCAGCCTGCCATCCCTGACTTCAGGCAGTATTCCAGCCCTACTGCCTCTCTTGCCCTGCCTGTCCCTCCTGAAGAACTTGTGACCATCCAACATGGCACTCCAGTCAAGGGCCCATCCTACTGGGTTTAAATTATTCCAGTGATGTAAAATCTGTTGGACCAGGCCAAAGCCTCAAGCTCCTCTTCGCTCCTCACACTCTGCATTGATGTAGAAACATTTCAGGTGTGGTCTGTTGTAACTGATGCCTCACAGAGCAGCTTGAGAGATCCCACTGGCACTTCCTCCTTCAAGTTTTGAGATGACTTCCCACTCTGGCAAGCATGGGTTTGTCCCTTCCTCCTTCAAATCTAGTTTAAAGCTTTGTCGATGAGCCCAGCTAACTCCTGTGTCTGAATTATTTTTCTTTCCCTTCTGAGGTAGATTCATCCCATCACGTATTATTAAACCAAGTGTTGCATAGTTACCTCATGGTCAAAAACCCCAAAATTATTCCGGTGACACTAACCTCAGAGCCATGCATTGACCTGATGGATATACCTGTTCCTTTCAGCATTTTCCTTACTGTTGGAAAGATCAAGTGCTCCTGATCCTTCAACCAATCCTCCTAAGGCCACAATATCCACTTTGATTGCCCTCAGACTTCTCTTTGTTAACTTACCACCACTGACTTGAAGAACTAATAATGGATAACAATTAGAGGACCTTATTAGGCTGGAGAGCTCTCTAGTAATATCTCTTACCAGAACCCCAGGGAGGGAGAAGGTTTTCCTGTTGGCTGCATCTGGTTTGCATATTGGGCACTTTCTTCCACTAGAAGGAAGCTGCCTCTGATAAATACCGTTCTTTTGCTCTTAATAGAGTTTGGAAGGAGGGGTTAGATTGTACTGCCCTAAATGGGCTCTTTGTCCCAGAAGGACCTTCATCCACTTTATCAATTGACTGTCCTAGTTCCAGGGCCACATATCTGTCATAAGATGTGCCAGTCCTACTTGTCATTGCCAAGTTTCTGCCTTCCTTCCAGTATGAGCAGTGCCCAGCTTCTAGCCTTCATGTTCAACAGATCCTCGACTACTTGAGGGTTCCCCTACAGTGGAGGTTTGAGATTCCTGAGATTGTAGCATCTCTGAGAGCGACCTCTTGATCTCTTGCTCATTTTCTCCAATACTACATGGCCTATTCACTTCCTTCTTGTTTTACACTAATTCTCTCCTTGGGAAAGGAAAAACAAATCAAAGTCACTGAAAAAGTTCAAATTGGATTTGTGGGGACATGGAGGTAGGGGGAGGAGTGTTTTTGATCTCTTAATCTAAAATAAATGTATGGTCAGATAAGGTTAAAAAATTATGATGATGGGATAATCTAAACACTGGGCAAAGCAGTAAACTGATTGATTAGTCTTCTTTCAGAGAAATCTGTGGACACAAAGTAGCAAAAGTACAGTGCACAGAGAGTTTTGAAACTAACGTTTCAGAACTCAGTAAACTCAAATTAAAGATTACACTCTTTTCTGCTACCTGAGACTGTAACTGCACAATTAGATCAGAGACCTTGAGGCATGAGGGATTTTGCATGCCACACAAATAGACCTTCTTCTGTTTGAAGAAGAACCCTGTGGATTTGGAGCAAGCCCAATCTGTTTCTTCAGGTAGCTAGGAGCCAGATCTGATCAGCGTGAAAGAGTGCTGAACATGCTGCATTTTTTTTTATACGAAGGGAGCAGATATTCAGTTTTCTTTGCATCCTGAAGTGGCACTCCGGGGTGTCTGATGTGATGTTCAGGAGTAAGTGAATATGTGGCTTACCCTGTTGGAAGTCTACATGTTTTAAAGCACAGCATTCTTTGTTGGCAATATAACCTGGCATAAAGTCTACATGGCTGTCATACCTAAAAGACAGCTGTCCTGTTGCTCCCTGGGCATTATGGAAATTTTGGTTCCTCTTTTTTCACTCCATTTATTGATGTCTCTCTTCAAGGCAGTGTGGTGTGTTGACCTAGATCTTGATCAGAAAATGACTGAAATAAATGATCCACTATAAAGTTCCTGAGAGGCTGTCCTTTTCACCTCACTTTAAATTTGATTTTGCTCCTTCCTGTTCATTCTGCTGCTCATCTCTCTGTCTGTCTCTGCCCACTTTCCTGTCCATTTCTGCTCAGCCCTTTTCCTGACCTTTTTAATTTATTCTTCTTCTATTGTCACATTCTCTTTCCTGTGCCTCATTCTTCCCTGTAGTTTTTCCTATGTCCTTCCTTTATCTTGCATATCCAAACATCTTATTTAATCTACTCTTATTCTTTCCATTCACATATCTTATCCTTTGAGGTTTTTCTTCCTATCTCTAGATACTAATAATGGTTATCTCTTTATGTGAGGGAATTGGAGATGTGCAGTTAAAGCGTGTACTCTATTACTCTCCTTCACACACTCTCTCCTTGCTCTATTCACTCAGTAATTTTTACCAGTCTTCTGTTTCTGCTCTTGTGCTGCACACCCTGAAGCTCAGTGCTTTGCCAGTTTTCTCCAGGAGTTTGTGGCAATTATTTTTTACCCTCTTGTGGCAGGATTTTCTGGCTTTACTTTGCTTTCCTAGTTTTTCCTTCTCTTCTGCTCTTTCCCACTGTTATTCTTTAGCTCTCATTGCTCCATTTTCTCCTCTTTCAGACAAAGTTTTCGTCACAAAAAAGGGAAAGGATTGCAAAAGTCTGCTAACATGAACAGTCCCATACCCACCCTTTACACACATTTCAACTAACTGCACAAACCCACAGAGAGTATAATGAGGTGAAAACCAGCAGGAATCTAGATTTCCCTTTTCTCTCTAGAAGTTCTTTGTTTGCCAGAACTCTGACTTCTGGTGAACAGAAGGTTTAATCTCTAAGTACAAGTTTATTTGCAATTCATGAATTTCTTTGTGAAATGGACATCTGAAATAGTTGAACGATGCTTCACAATGGGATTGGGGTACTGCAGCAGAAGTTCAGTGTGGCCTTGGACCACTTCTGAGTTATGAGTCTCCTTTGTCCAAAGGCTGATTTTTGTTCTGTGATCATATTTCATTCCTGCACCACATCTTTGCTATTTTCTGTGAAGCTAGGTGGTGAGGGTCTTGATTATGTTAATGAGAAAGTCAAGGAGATGGAGAGAAAGAAGCTGCCAAGACCTTTTTTTTGAAATGCATGACTTGGTTGGAATTTTATGTCTCCCTGTCACTGATTTTGATTAGGTTGGGTTTTAGGTTTTTTTTTGTTTTATTTGTTGTGCATTGGATTTATTTTTTGGGGGGAAGGGGGGGTTTGTTGGTTTTTAGGTTCTTTCCTTGTTTTTCTAATTCTTAGAAATGGAGGAGGAGAAATATTCTGGGAAGGTTGAAAGGCAGCCTCCAGTGGCATGGCACACAGTAAGTAACTTCTAGTAAGCTACAGAAATTTCATCATAACTGAGTTCAAAACTTCTACTTGTTAGAAAATTAGCCCCCTTTTGAATAACCAATAAATTGGATTTTTCTTATATATATATATGTATAATTGAAACAAAATGTACAAGATAAGGAAGCCAGAAGACGCAAAACCACAAAAGATGAATTGAAAATCTCTCATGTTGAAACATTGGTCTCAGTACTCACCTAGTGCTTATTTTATAACATAATGTGTACATTAGGCCCTATAAATGGTACTGCATTGTAAAATCAGCACTTTTTAATGAATGAAGTGCTATTTTAAGAATATCTCCAGGACAATAGACAAGAAAACCCCCAAACGATGCCTTGCATTTACTCACTTTCCCTCACTGCTGCTCGGTAGAATGCATCCTTTCTTTATCCCCAGAGCTGAAGAAAGGTAAAGAATTAAGGGTCTTGGTGCTGTATCCCCACAAATAGGTGGCTGTGGGCAGTAGGACTTGTCCTTCCTCAGTGTAAGGAAAAGGCTGGGAAGGAATCACTGCCTTCTGAACCAGTATTAAATGCTACTCTTGACTACAGAATGAGAGGCAAATTTGTCCTTCCTATACATGATAAATGTCAGTTCATTGACTTCTCTTACAATTACAAACATAATATCAAGTTCCTTCATATCAGCTGAACTGCAGTACCAGGATGTGTGCTTGCTTCTAGCTTTCGGCAAAGTAAGGTGAAAGTCCTTTTCTTAAATTTAAATTGAAGAGATTTAAATTACCTCACACTTGCAGTGGGCTAAGAGCCAACACAGCTTATTACACTAGCAGGGCTGGTAGGGAATTCATCATGCTATTGCAACTCAGTCATGAAACTGACCCCTTCCATAATGTCCTACACTGATAAGACAGCTCATAATGGGATTTTATGTGAGCATTTTTCAGGATATCCTGGCAAAAACAGCGAAAACCTGAAGGTAGTTCATGGTAGAAAGGGCAGCTTCATTAATAATTCTTCTCCACAGGTAGAGAAGCAAAGTTGTTCCTGTAACAGGGGAATGAAGTAGATCGTATTACCAGAGACAAATCCTGCTGTAGCCTCACTAACAAAGTCTTGAGTCAGCTGTCTGCTGGCAGGAGAACTCTTCAGCCAAAACAAGTTGGTTACAGATATATACCCATCCTTACAGCACCCCCTAAAAAAGGGGAGTACAGCTCAGTAGCTTCTACCGCAACTTTATGAAAACTCTCAAAATTATAAGATATTTTTTGCCATTCTCTACCATTCATTCTATCTAAACTGATCTAACACAGATTTTAAGATGAAGAAATATCCTAATTTCAAAACAGTGAAGCTTTTGGGCATAAGTGAAGACTGCGAAGTTACCAGCAGTCATTGAATTTTGGCTTTTTTTCCAGCTTTGGTGTCGTTCTCCTCCCTTTGATGGGGATCAGGATTGATGCTGCATTGGGATTCTCTTTGACATCCACCATAATCAATGTTTCTAATCAGTGTTGCTCTGCTGGCATCATGTGTGGAACAGAGAGGAGTGCCCAGTCAGCACAACACAGAGGCAGGGAGAAAATGAGGAGGGAGCAAGAGAGACACAGTGAAGAGGTTGATAACAAATTAAAGAGTCAATCTTGAAAAAGAAGACAAAGCAATCTTCAGGTATTTGTTGCAATTCAAGAGGAATGTGGTTAGACTGTGCACTTAACCTCATGCCTTCTATCTTGGTAAGCACTTCATCATTCTTTTATTGGCATTGGGATCTACTTCCCTATTCACTGGACCTATAGTTTGAAGAAACCTGGTGATGCAGAGGGCAGTTAAAAAAGATGGCCTCTCAGAGAAAACCCCTTGAAATCTGGTGCTATATTATGTATTGGTGTTATTTGTGACCCCCATGCAATTTTAGACCATCCTAACAGTGAAAATAATAAGTTTCAAATAATAAAATTAGCTTGAAAATGCTGCGTTTTACCAAACAAAATTGTACCAGAAAAAAGTGTAATTCAGTAACTGGAATAACCATAGAGAACTATATTGAGAGAGAGACCAAGTGAGCAGAAACAGAAGAAAAAGTCATATAAAAAGGAAGAAATAGAAAGTCAAAAATATTGATGACAAATATTAATCTCAAATTTATGAAATGAAGCAATGTTTCAGGTACCTTTTATAAGAGTTGAAGAATACGAGTGCATGAATGCTCACCCCAGGCTGTTGGAGAGTCTGTGGTGTGTCATTAAATATACAGACACCTGCCCATCTTACCAGGCTGTGTCCTGTGAGAAAACTGCTTTTTCTCTGATCTGCAGCTCAGTTCCTCAAAAGTCTGCTTCAAGTCTTCTGACAGCCATCTGCTAGCCCATGAAGACTAGCACAAGTCAAGTCCATTTCACAAGAAGCTTCATGTAAAAAGTCCTTCTGAGATCAAAAGTGTCATATTGATATCCTCTTCCTGTTGTTAAATGTTGCATTTTTATTTTGTGTTGGGCATACTAATATTCCTTGCTTAAATTCAATACTTGTGTCCTTCGTTGTTTGGGTTTTATTTAACAGAAAGGTGAAGCTTTTTTTTATTTATTTTTTATTTTATTGTAATGATGAGTAATTGATTTTGTAAACTAATGCCACTGCAATTACTTTAGCTCAGCAACAAATGGGAAAAAGAGCCTCTGTATTGATGCTGAGCGCCAAGTAGATTATACTTTTAAAAAAAGATACATTGTCTTGCTCTCGCATGTGGAAGAATGATTCAAAATTATTTCATTATATATCAAAGGCTTTCCTCTCTCTTTAGATCTTTATCAAATACT